CCATGCCACGGAAAAGCAAATTTCAAAGTGAAAGTTCCGAAGCTGTAGCACATATGGTTGATTTGTTATGAATTTTCAAAGTTTTGAAATTTAGAGGCTTGCTGTAGCGCCACCATCAGGACTATTGTCTTGTGTTTCCAGTTGAGGACATCTGGCATGGGACTGGACCTTTATGAAAAGTTTGGGTAGATTTCTCATATGGAAATGTTGCACGACCTGAGGCTTGAACTCACAATCTTCAAGACCAAGAACCAACCTTTATCTCACTGAGCTAATTGGCAAACAGAAATGTCACATGTAGCTTCACAAATTGACTAAGCCAGTCACCTGTGTGCAAGACAGCAGCTGTTCAGTTATTAAGACAAAAATCTGAAAATACACAAATTGCATCTAAACAGCATGGAGATGTTGGTAATTTGTTTTTAACAATGATTTATTGGCTCCATAAGTGAAAAACTGATGTTTAAAAATGCCATTTTTGCATTGACTCCAATTGTTCGCATGAGAGCGAAATTCAAAATGCTGTAAAAAAAAATTAAGTTTTTGAGATAAAATTCTGATATTTTCCAAACATCATCTACCATGACTCCAAAATTTTGTCATTTTTTTAATGAACATTGAAAATGTATTTAGCAAGAATTTGCAAGTATATGGTTACATATACGGCCCTAATTTACGACCCTAATAAATAATAATAAAAAGCAACGCGATTACAATAGGGTCCTATGGACGACTTTGTCGTCGCTCAGACCCTAATAAAAAATGCTTGCATTTCAATAGGGTCATTGCACCACTAGGTGCTCGGGTCCTAATAATAATAAACAGCGCGATTACAATAGTCCTTGCACCGCTAGGTGCTCGGGCCCTAATAATAATAAACAGTGCGATTACAATAGGGTCCTCACGGACGACTTTGTTATTGCTCGGGCCCTAATAATAATAATAATAAACAGCGCGATTACAATAGTCCTTGCATCGCTAGGTGCTCGGGTCCTAAAAATAATAAACAGCGCGAATACAATAGGGTCCTCACGGACGACTTCGTCGTGGCTCAGGCCCTAATCATTCGAAAAACAATAGGGTTGTAGATGACTTGCAGTCGTCGCTTGGACCCTAATAACAATAATAATAAAAAGCGCGATTACAATGGGGTCCTACGACCAGTCGTCACTCGGGCCCTAATAAATCCTTGCATTTCAATAGGGTCCTCGCACCGCTAGGTGCTCGGGCCCTAATAATAGGTTACTGTGGACCTATATGCCATGCCTTTTAATAAAATTACCAGAGGAGTTCGCTGAAAAACAGGTAAAGTCAGCCTGAATTACGCATGCGTCCCCGGTGAAAATCGCAGTTGTTGCTCGGGCCCTAATAATAATAATAAATGGTGCGATGTCAATAGGGTCCTACGTGGACGACTTTGTTGTCGCTCAGGCCCTAATAAACAGCAGGATTTCAATAGAGTCCTCTGGATGACTTGCAGTCATTGCTCGAGCCCTAATAACAATAATAATAATAAACAGCGCAATTTCAATAGGATCCTACGTGGACGACTTTGTCGTCGCTCGGGCCCTAATAATAAACAGCGCGATTTCAATAGGGTCCTATGTGGACGACTTCGTTGTCGCTCAGGCCCTAATAAAAATCCAAACAAAACCAATAATACAGTAAAGTCAGCCTGAATTACGCGTGTGTCCCTGGTGAAAATCGCTGACATGCATGGGAAATACAGCTTCTATTGGCTCACCATAGCTTACTGTCAGGACTCAGGGACCAGAATTCGGAATGGCGGACCGTAGGGATGGTGATATTTCAGAGTGGCGGCCTGTAACCGTTGGTTAAATGGCCCGTTCCGTTGGTATTTGGATAAGTGGGGCTTTACTGGTATAATGCAATAGCACCACCCAGTGGTGAAACCCATGTACACGTTTACACGAAAAAAATGACCCACTCTAAATGTTTAGAGATTTTTGTACATGAGCTCACCCCTAGTGCTCGGGCCCTAATAATAATAATAAACAGCACAATTTCAATAGGGTCCTACGCGGATGACGTCGTCATCGCTTGGGCCCTAATAAATAATAATAAACAGCGCGATTACAATAGGGTGCTACGGACGACTTGCAGTCGTCGCTCGGACCCTAATAATAATAAATAATAATTAGCAGCGCAATTTCAATAGGGTCCTATGGACGACTTGCAGTCGACACTCGGACCCTAATAAATAATAATAAACAGCCCGATTTTGATAGGGTCCTACGCGGATGATTTGCAGTCGTCGCTCGGACCCTAATAAATAATAATAAACAGCCCAATTTCAGTAGGGTCCTATGCGGACGACTTGCAGTCGTCGCTTGGGCCCTAATAAACAGCGCAATTTCAATAGGGTCCTATGGACGACTTGCAGTCGTCGCTCTGACCCTAATAACAATAATAATAAACAGCGCGATTTCAATAGGGTCCTCCGGACGACTTGCAGTCATCACTCAGGCCCTAATAATAAACAGCGCAATTTCAATAGGGTCCTACGGAGGACTTGCAGTCGTCGCTCGGACCCTAATAATAATAAATAATAATTAACAGCGCAATTTCAATAGGTTCCTACGGACGACTTACAGTCGTCGCTTGGACCCTAATAAATAATAATAAACAGCCTGATTTCAATAGGGTGCTACGGATGACTTGCAGTTGTCGCTTGGACCCTAATAAACAGTGCAATTTCAATACTAATAATAATAAATAATAATTAACAGTGCAATTTCAATAGGGTCCTACGGACGACTTGCAGTTGTCGCTCGGACCCTAATAAATAATAATAAACAGCCCGATTTCAATAGGGTCCTACGTGGACGACTTGCAGTCTTCGCTCAGACCCTAATAAATAATAATAAACAGCCCGATTTCAATAGGGTCCTACGTGGACGACTTGCAGTCGTCGCTCGGGCCCTAATAAACAGCGCAATTTCAATAGGGTCCTATGGACGACTTGCAGTCCTCGCTCTGACCCTAATAACAATAATAATAAACAGCGCGATTTCAATAGGGTCCTCCGGACGACTTGCAGTCATCACTCAGGCCCTAATAATAAACAGTGCAATTTCAATAGGGTGCTACGGACGACTTGCAGTCGTCGCTCGGGTCCTAATAATAAAAATCTGAACAAAAACAATAGGTTTCCCAGCACCGCTGGTCCTGGGAAACGCGTCTGCTTGCATATGTGTTCCCCAGGCCCCGCGGGCTTGGACCCCTAAATATAAAAAAACAGATCCCCCACTTAATGTTTTCCCCATCAATGCTGATATTCAGCCTTTGCTGTGAAACCAGTAGAGGTTGACATAAATTCTTCTGGATGCACACAGTGTGAGCTCATACTGATGGTTTACTCTGTCTGTCTATTGTTCCCCCAGGAACCCTCTGAAGTTTATTGTGGAGGAAGTAGCCAGTGTTCAGCTGTACCCCGAGACAGACGAGCCAGTCAACATACTTAACATAAAGAGAGGAATCATTTCAGCTCTCATTGTGCCAGTCATGGAGGATGAACAGAACAGCCTCATGGTTGGTATCTTCTCATAACCCATGGTGCCTTTTCTAAAAATTTAACAGAGAAAGCACAAGTACAGCCTGAAGGCCAGTAGATAAATACACATTATATTACATATAAATTGAATGCATTATGTATACATTATTTACAATAAAGCAGATAAAGAACATGCAGGATAATATGAGAAGTGAAAGGAGAAGTAAATGTACAAGTAGGGCTGCTCAATTAATTCAATTTTAAGAAGACAGAAATGACATGCTGTCGTGTAAACAACAAAAGTCATCACGTGCGCCGCATAATCGTTTGCATAATCGTGATTTCAATTTTGACCAAAATAATTGTGATCATTATTTTTTCTATAATCGAGCAGCCCTATGTACAAGCAAATAAAATTGCAGAAAAAGTAAAGATCAAATTGTGGTAAAATCTTGTAATACGAGCACTTACCATGAGGCATTGTCTTTTGATTTTTAAAGCTAATACTTCTGAGATAAATCCACCATTTGCTGTTTGTTTTCTTTTCCTCAGAGCACAGTGTATGGCCAGTGTTTAACTGACTATATAGTGAATGACGGGAAGGATATCGCCACAGATGTGACACTGTCCAGATATCTGTCCCAGTGCGACCGGTTCTACAGCAGAGAACTAGTCAACAGCCCCCTGGCCCTGTTGCAAAAGCTGGTGAGATATTAACCCCTGCATCTGTAGTCTCTAAGTGGATACTGTCTTTAATAACATTATATTGTGTAATGAAGGCTCTGGTAAAATATGATGCCTGGTCATAAAAAGGTGTTGCTTTGAGAATAATTGTATACAGACAATATGACTTTACTAAACCAATAAAGTACAATATTTCCTATGTAGAGCTCTCCTGGACCTATCAGGACTTCTAGCTGTAGAGCTCTCTTTGCTTTCATATATGTACCTGGAAGTCAAAAGTCAGTAGTAGTAATAATAACAATCATAACTATACACTTTATTTATATCTTTTCAAAACAGAGTTACAAAGTGCTTTACAGAACAAGATAAAAATACCATACATCATCGAGATAAAAACAGTAAAAACATAAATAAAAACAAAGAGTGGCACAGATGGCATGTTGAAATGTGTTTTAATGATAATTAAAGCTGCAAGCAGCTGTGACCGGGCCCTCGCTCTCCCGCGTCTACGCAGGGGGGCAGCAGCGCGCATCACTGAAGCGGTTATGTGAAAACTCAGAGTAAGTTAACCCTGACGTGGTGTGACGTTTCATCTTCCTACTCCAAAAAAAAACGCTATGGGAAGGGTATGTTGAAAATTTCAAGGGGGCGCTATAGAGGCATTTTGTCACCCCCCATGGGCAACGCCTCTATCAGATGTATGAGCTCAACATTTTTGATCTGTGTATCAATTTCATGTGAATATGATATCGCTGAAGCCATCAAAAAGCCAAACATATTTGGTGGTGAGGGCAACGTCATAGTAGCCACACCCCTTGACATAGAGAAAAGCTTTTAATAACTTTTGATCAGCATGATCTCAGGGGCTGAGGCTGTTGAGCAACCAGGGGCTGCGGGGAGACCCAGAGCAGGCATGGATTGGTGGTGTAAATGTGGGGCTTACTGGCCACTTTATTAGGTACACTTGTGCAATCTAATACAAGTCAATACAACAGCTCTGCCACACATTCTACGTTTACAAAGCTTTTACTTTTTCAGCTTTTGTCAGAAAGGTGATTATTCTACTTTATTATTGAGGTCATAGTGGGTGGTGTTGGTGTACTGGAGTGCAATATATTTAAAAGTGTTCCTAATATTTTGTCCTCCTCAATTAGACAAAATTAGGAGGCCACCTCAGTACACCACCACCATTCACTATGACCTCAATAATAAACAAAGTAGAGTCACCACTTTCTAGACGATGTCAACAATAACCGAAAATTTATAAGCTTCAGGGAAAAAATCATGGTATAGTCGTTTTACTGGATTGCATTAGATTACACAGGTGTACACAAAGTGGCCAGTGACTGTATGTTACATACATACAGATTTCCTCAAATAGTAGCCGGGGCTACTATTAACAAAATAATAGTTTGGGACCAGGCTACAAATAGGGGCAGGCTACTATTTGAAGGAGGCTTTCAATTAAAAAAAAAAAAAAAAATCACAGCCAAATTTGAAAATACAAATACTGTATTTTTTTATTTTAAACAGCAGAAATATCTATGTAAACCTGTCTTTACAGTAAAAATGAATATTTTCTATATAGTATTACAAAGAAAGTACTGTATTATTTATAGTAACAACGTTTACATTAACAGTAAAAATAGTTTTTGGTGTTTTTGTAAATCACCAATATTTACTATTGACTACACCACAGTGTACTAGTTGTCCTGCCTTGAAACAGCGAATCATCTCATCCTCTGTCCCATCTGCAGCCACCGTGATGCCACACACCTTACAAGACAACATGCCACAAATTAATTTTAAAACTAGGCTACATTCGGAATAATGACTTTTTATCTCACAATTTTGATTAGGAATAGCAATTTCTTTTTTTCCATTACTGGCGAAAATGGGCTTCCATAGATAAAGATGGTTACACACCCTAAGCAGGCGTCATATGCCAGCTGTTTCCACTTGCCACACAATAAATAGAACATAAGTCTTTAAGCTGGTTAATATTTTCTCCATCAGCTATCATTCTAAACAAGACTGCTGCCATACATATAACATGAATCTACCTACACATTATTTACATATTTAACAATGTCAAACACAACACAGAAGACCCAAAGCAACCACATTGACTACATCTCCCAGAAAGCCCAGCGCTCTGGGAGCATGCGCGAAGCAGTCTCGAGACGGCAGCGCGGACATGTGAAGACACGGCCTGTGTTTACATACTGCACTAGCCTTGGACTAATATGTTCATTGCATGAACGTCTTGAAAACGAACCCCATTTTTCGTTTGGGGGTTCCTGGTCTCGACTGATTCACGTCTCCATAAACGTTCAAACGTTCAGACAGTAAGCAGTTATCTTGCGTTTGTCAGCTGCTCTCATGTTCCCTCCTTTTGTGAAGGTCTTGTTGCCGTCCTCTGTATACCAGGCGTCATATGCCCCATGGCGTATTCCCCCTGATATTTGTTCAGAATATTTCAAAACTTCTAGTTTTAAATGAACACTGAAGTTGCGTCTTGTCGCCATCTTATCTGTTTACAATCAGCTGAGAGTGCGCAACTGCGCATGTGCAGTCTCTTGTTTTTATGACAATAGCGTCAGGAGCAGCCAAAGATCACCTGGTGGCAAGATAGTTATCTACCAGTGTTCATAAACAAAAGAATATTGGTTATGGTTGAAATAAAGATAAAGATAGATAATTATGTACAGTTAATGCCTTTAAGGTCTTCTGACTCTTTAAAAGTTGACATGGTGTCTGTAGCTCAAAGTATGAGGGACAAGAAGAGGTTGAAAGTTCATGAGTTTTGAAGAGGATTTGAAGATTTTCCAATTTACTTCCATTTACACTAATTAGACTGCCACCAGAGCGCCACCTATTGGCCGATTTGCACCGAATTTTGCACAAACCCTCATCGGGCCATGGAACACAATTAGCGAAAGTGTTGTGGTAATCCGACTGTATCTGCTCAAGATATGAAAGACTGTCTGTTTTGAAAACAATAGCAGGAATTTGTTGTTTTATATTTTGGGCGTTTTTTGGACAAACAAATTTCTTTTAACAACTTTTTGTCACAGATGCTTCATGCAAAGTTTGGTGCAAATCGGTCAAATCGCCTCGGAGGAGTTTCATTGTTCGTGATTTTGCAAATGGAAATTTAATGCAAAAGTAGGCGTGCCTTACATCACACAATTCAGCTGAATTCAGGGAACACTGAGATATAAAGTTTCAAAACCTGCGACATATTATGTGGGAGTTGTGGGCCAAAAACGGTTTTGCATTGAAAATAGTGCCCCCTGCTGGTCATTTTTGGTGTGTGAGTTACAGGGGCCAGTCTATACCACCCCTATCAATTTCATTTCCATAACTGTTATGGTGTTGGCACAGTGCCAAATATTAATTTAGACTGCCACCACAGCGCCACCTAGTGGCAGATGGGTAACTCCTTTGTCAGATATCCTCAGGAGGGCATTGACAATAATTGTTCTAAGTAACCAATGTGGAGATATAAAATACTTTAATTTAAAGAGTGCCACCTTGTGGTCATCGCCTGACATTTTGCACAGAGCCTCAGGGGATCATGGGGAAGTAGTAAACTGAGTTTCATGTCATTCAAACACACCAATGTGGAGATATGCAACACTTCCTGTTTTGTACCAAATCTGCAGGAAGCTGCTATTTAATAACTTCAGTTTTCTTTGGAATATCAAAATTCTTTTAATAATATTTTGTCAGAAGTGTCCACAGATGCTGTGTGCAAAGTTTTGTGCAAATCGGTGAAATTGCCTAGGAGGAGTTCAAAAAAGTAGGTTTGCAACATTTTGCGAATTTGCAGGAAAAAAACGGTTGGCGGAAATGGGCGTGGCCTATATCCTGAGATTCAGCACAATTCACTGAACGTGTGGATATCAGATTTTTGAATGTGCGACAAAGTATATGGGAGTTATGACCCAAAACGCACTTTCCTTGATTATAGTGCCACCTAGTGGTGGAAATTCAGGACGACAATAGATTATAAAATTTTTCACCAGACCAAACGCGTGTGCCAAATTTCCTGCGTTTCTGAATTTGGGAAAGGGGCCAAATTGGCAATTATATTCTCATAAGAATAATAATAATAAATAATAATAATAATAATAATTCAAGCTGCAAGCAGCTGTGATCGGGCCCTCGCTCCCCCTGTAATCGCGGGGGCCTGAGGCACGTGGGGGCTGTGGCGCGAAGCGAGAAGGGAGAAAAGACCTGGCAGGAGCGAAAAAACGCAATGTTTCGTTTATCCACCAGGTGGAGCTACGAGCGTAACCAGGTGCGTTCAGGGGTGGACCGTCATCACACATGAAATTTCGAGCAAATCTGACAATGTCAATGTATAATAGGGCATTTCCTGTTTCCACAAGGGGGCGACATGAGCGTAACCAGATGTGGGCAGGTGCGTTCAGGGGTGGACCGTCATCACGCATGTGAAGTTTCAAGCAAATCTGACAATGTCAATGTATAATAGGGCATTTCCTGTTTCCACAAGGGGGCGGCATGAGCGTGACCAGATGTGGGCAGGTGCATTCAGGGGTGGACCCTCATCACACATGTGAAATTTCGAGCAAATCAGACAATACATGAAGGATTTATATCAAGTTGATGTTCCATGGCGAAGGATGAAAAGTCGCCACTGCTGCGGCCTGCAACATGACAGGACACGTGTGTCACTGTGGAGATTCATCAACTTGATCGTCATGTGGCCACAAAATGGAGTTGATCAGGTCAGGAGCTTGAGGTTGGCGTTTGTCAGTGTAAAAGATGGCATTTCCTGTTTCTACAAGGGGGC